TGACATATTTGACGCGATGTTCCCGTCACACACATTGCTGGAGAGACTGTGATCCAACAAGGTGAGCTTCATGGGTTGAGAAGACACATCGATGTGGTCCATGCTCAGATCATTTACGTCTAGGGGTCGGCAACCTTAAACACTCAAAGAGCCATTTGGACCCGTTTCCCACTGAAAAGAAAACACCGGGAGCCACAAAACCTGGGTGGGCATGGCCAACTCGACATCACTCGCTTCCACCAGTCACATGACTCCCTAGCCACGCCTACCCAGCTGGTCATTAGGGCAGAGAACCGGTTGTTAAAAAACACCGGGAACCACAAAACCCTTTTGACATCCCTCCCTCCCCCCCTCCTCTCCCCGCTCTCTCTCTCCCCTCTCACTGTATCTCTCTATGTCTCTCTCTCTTTCCCCCCCTCTCACTGTATCTCTCTATGTCTCTCTCTCTCTTTCCCCTCTCACTGTATCTCTCTATGTCTCTCTCTCTTTCCCCTCTCACTGTATCTCTCTATGTCTCTCTCTCTCTCTCCCCCTCTCTCTGTATCTCTCTATGTCTCTCTCTCTTTCCCCTCTCTCTGTATCTCTCTATGTCTCTCTCTTTTTCCCCTCTCTCTGTATCTCTCTATGTCTCTCTCTCTTTCCCCTCTCTCTCTATCTCTCTATGTCTCTCTCTCTTTCCCCTCTCACTGTATCTCTCTATCCTCTCTCTCTTCCCCTCTCACTGTATCTCTCTATGTCTCTCTCTCTTTCCCCTCTCACTGTATCTCTCTATGTCTCTCTCTCTTTTCCCCTCTCACTGTATCTCTCTATGTCTCTCTCTCTTTCCCCTCTCACTGTATCTCTCTATGTCTCTCTCTCTCCTCTCCCTCTCTCTGTATCTCTCTATGTCTCTCTCCTCTTTCCCCTCTCTCTGTATCTCTCTATGTCTCTCTCTTTTTTCCCCTCTCTCTGTATCTCTCTATGTCTCTCTCTCCCCTCTCTCTGTATCTCTCTATGTCTCTCTCTCTTTCCCCTCTCACTGTATCTCTCTATGTCTCTCTCTCTTCCCCTCTCACTGTATCTCTCTATGTCTCTCTCTCTTTCCCCTCTCACTGTATCTCTCTATGTCTCTCTCTCTTTCCCCTCTCACTGTACTCTCTATGTCTCTCTCTCTTTCCCCTCTCACTGTATCTCTCTATGTCTCTCTCTCTCCCCCTCTCTCTGTATCTCTCTATGTCTCTCTCTCTTTCCCACTCTCTGTATCTCTCTATGTCTCTCTCTCTTTCCCCTCTCTCTGTATCTCTCTATGTCTCTCTCTCTTTCCCCTCTCTCTGTATCTCTCTATGTCTCTCTCTCTTTCCCCTCTCACTGTATCTCTCTATGTCTCTCTCTCTCTTTCCCCTCTCACTGTATCTCTCTATGTCCTCTCTCTTTCCCCTCTCACTGTATCTCTCTATGTCTCTCTCTCTCCCTCCCCCTCTCTCTGTATCTCTCTATGTCTCTCTCTCTTTCCCCTCTCTCTGTATCTCTCTATGTCTCTCTCTTTTTCCCCTCTCTCTGTATCTCTCTATGTCTCTCTCTCTTTCCCCTCTCTCTGTATCTCTCTATGTCTCTCTCTCTTTTCCCTCTCACTGTATCTCTCTATGTCTCTCTCTCTTTCCCCTCTCACTGTATCTCTCTATGTCTCTCTCTCTTTCCCCTCTCACTGTATCTCTCTATGTCTCTCTCTTCCCCTCTCACTGTATCTCTCTATGTCTCTCTCTCTTCTCCCCCTCTCACTGTATCTCTCTATGTCTCTCTCTCTCCCCCTCTCTCTGTATCTCTCTATGTCTCTCTCTCTTTCCCCTCTCTCTGTATCTCTCTATGTCTCTCTCTTTTTCCCCTCTCTCTGTATCTCTCTATGTCTCTCTCTCCCCTCTCTCTGTATCTCTCTATGTCTCTCTCCTCTTTCCCCTCTCACTGTATCTCTCTATGTCTCTCTCTCTTTCCCCTCTCACTGTATCTCTCTATGTCTCTCTCTCTTTCCCCTCTCACTGTATCTCTCTATGTCTCTCTCTCTTTCCCCTCTCACTGTATCTCTCTATGTCTCTCTCTCTTTCCCTCTCACTGTATCTCTCTATGTCTCTCTCTCTCTCCCCCCTCTCTCTGTATCTCTCTATGTCTCTCTCTCTTTCCCCTCTCTCTGTCTCTCTATGTCTCTCTCTCTTTCCCCTCTCTCTGTATCTCTCTATGTCTCTCTCTCTTTCCCCCCTCTCTCTGTATCTCTCTATGTCTCTCTCTCTTTCCCCTCTCACTGTATCTCTCTATGTCTCTCTCTCTCTCTCCCCTCTCACTGTATCTCTCTATGTCTCTCTCTTTCCCCTCTCACTGTATCTCTCTATGTCTCTCTCTCTCCCCTCTCTCTCTGTATCTCTCTATGTCTCTCTCTCTTTCCCCTCACTGTATCTCTCTATGTCTCTCTCTCTTTCCCCTCTCACTGATCTCTCTATGTCTCTCTCTCTCTTCCCCCTCTCACTGTATCTCTCTATGTCTCTCTCTCTTTCCCCTCTCTCTGTATCTCTCTATGTCTCTCCTCTCTCTTTCCCCTCTCTCTGTATCTCTCTATGTCTCTCTCTCTTTCCCCTCTCACTGTATCTCTCTATGTCTCTCTCTCTTTCCCCCTCTCTCTGTATCTCTCTATGTCTCTTTCTCTTTCCCCTCTCACTGTATCTCTCTATGTCTCTCTCTCTCTCCCCTCTCACTGTATCTCTCTATGTCTCTCTCTCTTTCCCCTCTCACTGTATCTCTCTATGTCTCTCTCTCTCTCCCCCTCTCTCTGTATCTCTCTATGTCTCTCTCTCTTTCCCCTCTCACTGTATCTCTCTATGTCTCTCTCCTCTTTCCCCTCTCACTGTATCTCTCTATGTCTCTCTCTCTTTCCCCTCTCTCTGTATCTCTCTATGTCTCTCTCTCTTTCCCCCTCTCTCTGTATCTCTCTATGTCTCTCTCTCTTTCCCCTCTCACTGTATCTCTCTATGTCTCTCTCTCTTTCCCCTCTCTCTGTATCTCTCTATGTCTCTCTCTCTCTCTCCCCCTCTCTCTGTATCTCTGTCTCTGCCCTGGCTGCATTTCCATCACCCGTCATCGCCTTTACCTTCTCAGGCCAGGCGAGGAGTGACTGAGACGGGAGGGCGAGGTGCAGGGCCAGCCAGTGGTGGGATCACCCAACAGGGAGCCACAGCAGAGGGCCCAAAGAGCCACATGTGGCTCCGGAGCTGCAGGTTGCTGACACCCGGTAGCCAAACTCAAATCCTGCAGCCATTCTTTGTATATTTTAATCTCCAGGCCTCTGCTCATCTTCATTGCTCTTCAACTTTTTCCAAAGTCCCCACACCATTTTTTGTAGTATGGGAGACCAAAATTTTATTTTTTTATTTTATTTTTATTTATTAAATTTTTATACCGCCCCCTCTCCCGAAGGACTCGGGGCGGTGAACAGCCAGAATTAAAAACACACAATACAAATATTAAAATACATTAAAACAAAATTAAATTATCTTTGGCTTCTCCAATTTTAAAACCCCTTACCCATAAAATTCACCCAATTAAAAATTGTTTGCGGGATTCCAGGTGTGGTCTTCCTTAGGGTTTTATGAAGCTTAATTCATACCTTCCCACTTCGCTTTCTCTGAATCCAGTCTTTTCAAAGCTGGTACAAGATCACCCTCTTAAGTTTATAGGCTCCTGATTTGTCTTTCTCTTCCCCTGTAGGTGATGAAGGCGACAACTTCTATGTGATTGATCACGGGGAGGTGTATGTAAGTTGCAACTGACTTATTTGAAGGACTTGCTTTTCTTTTAGTGTATAGAAATGTGTTGATGTTCTGGATAAGATATGGACGAGAGGACTTCTCCTTACTGGTGACCTAGAGAGGAAAGAATAGAATAGAATGGAATGGAATGGAATGGAATGGAATAGAAAGAATAGAATAGAATAGAATAGAATAGAATAGAATAGAATAGAATAGAATAGAATTCTTTATTGGCCAAGTGTGTTTAGACACACAAGGAATTTGTCTTTGGTGCATATGCTCTCAGTGTACATAAAAAGAAAATATACATTTGTCAAGAATTTAAGATACAACACTTAATGATAGTCATAGGGAACAAATAAGCAATCGAATCATACTAGGAAACAATCAATATAAATCATAAGGATACCAGCAACAAGGTTACAGTCATACCGTCAAAAGTGGAAGGAGATGGGTGATAGGAACGATGAGAAGATTAATAGTAGTGCAGACTTAGTAACTAGTTTGACAGTGTTGAGGGAATTATTTGTTTAGCAGAGTGATGGCGTTCGGGGAAAAAACTGTCCTTGTGTCTAGTTGTTCTGGTGTGCAGTGCTCTATAGCGTCGTTTTGAGGGTAGGAGTTGAAACAATTTATGTCCAGGATGCAAGGGGTCTGTAAATATTTTCATAGCCCTCTTTTTGGCTCATGCAGTATACAGGTCTTCAATGGAAGGCAGGTTGGTAGCCATGGTTTTTTCTGCAGTTCTAATGATCCTCTGAAGTCTCTGTCTGTCTTGTTGGGTTGCAGAACCAAACCAGACAGTTATAGAGGTGCAGATGACAGACTCCATAATTCCTCTGTAGAACTGGATCAGCAGCTCCTTGGGCACTTTGAGCTTCCTGAGTTGGCGCAGAAAGAACATTCTTTGTTGTGCTTTTCTGATGACGTTTTTGATGTCAGGTGTCCATTTTAGGTCTTGCGATATGGTAGATATGGTAGAACCTATCAGGAAAGGAAGGCATGAACCCTATTCATTCATTGCCCACGTGGATGAAAGCGCCATTCCCTGGATGAGTCCTCAAAGAGGTCTGGAAGAAGCCGAGAAGACATGTCAGAAGTAATCTTCCCATGGATTGCCATCAGGAGCCAAGCTCATTTGTCCCGTATAAAGTCGCCTAATGGCGTATCATCCGCCAACAAATTATTTTAGGTTGAGAGCCTTAGAGTAACCCTCCCGGAGGCCCTGCAGCTTTACGCTAAACAATCTCAAAGATGGAAGGCCATCAAGTTGGAATGCGCCCCAAGCATTGGGTGAAACCGGAGCAAACTGTTTTTTTGCTAATCATCAAGGATTAGGTCATCTCGTGCCTTCGGTAAAGAGCAAGCTGGGAGCCTGGGGGGGCAATCCCGCTTTTTCATCTTCAGAAGATTCCAATTTGCTTTTTCCAAACTTTGCCCTGAAGGGGTTGAAACCTCACTGTGGGGACACCTGAAAATGAGAGAGGAAAGAATAGAATAGAATAGAATAGAATAGAATAGAATAGAATAGAATAGAATAGAATAGAATAGAATAGAATAGAATAGAATAGAATAGAATAGAATTCTTTATTGGCCAAGTGTGTTTAGACACACAAGGAATTTGTCTTTGGTGCATATGCTCTCAGTGTACATAAAAAGAAAATATACATTTGTCAAGAATTATAAGATACAACACTTAATGATAGTCATAGGGTACAAATAAGCAATCGAATCATACTAGGAAACAATCAATATAAATCGTAAGGATACCAGCAACAAGGTTACAGTCATACAATCATAAGTGGGAGGAGATGGGTGATAGGGACGATGAGAAGATTAATAGTAGTGCAGACTTAGTAAATAGTTTGACAGTGTTGAGGGGATTATTTATTTAGCAGAGTGATGGCGTTCAGGAAAAAACTGTCCTTGTGTCTAGTTGTTCTGGTGTGCAGTGCTCTATAGTGTCGTTTTGAGGGTAGGAGTTGAAATAATTTATGTCCAGGATGCGAGGGGTCCGTAGATATTTTCACAGCCCTCTTTTTGGCTCATGCAGTATACAGGTCTTCAATGGAAGGCAGGTTGGTAGCCATGGTTTTTTCTGCAGTTCTAATGATCCTCTGAAGTCTGTGTCTGCCTTGTTGGGTTGCAGAACCAAACCAGACAGTTATAGAGGTGCAGATGACAGACTCCATAATTCCTCTGTAGAACTGGATCAGCAGCTCCTTGGGCACTTTGAGCTTCCTGAGTTGGCGCAGAAAGAACATTCTTTGTTGTGCTTTTCTGATGACGTTTTTGATGTCAGGTGTCCATTTTAGGTCTTTAGATATGGTAGAACCTATCAGGAAAGGAAGGCATGAACCCTATTCATTCATTGCCTACATGGATGAAAGCGCCATTCCCTGGATGAGTCCTCAAAGAGGTCTGGAAGAAGCCGAGAAGACATGTCAGAAGTAATCTTCCCATGGATTGCCATCAGGAGCCAAGCTCATTTGTCCCGTATAAAGTCGCCTAATGGCGTATCATCCGCCAACAAATTATTTTAGGTTGAGAGCCTTAGAGTAACCCCTCCCGGAGGCCCTGCAGCTTTACCGCTAAACAATCTCAAAGATGGAAGGCCATCAAGTTGGAATGCGCCCCAAGCATTGGGTGAAACCGGAGCAAACTGTTTTTTTGCTAATCATCAAGGATTAGGTCATCTCGTGCCTTCCGTAAAGAGCAAACTGGGAGCCTGGGGGGCAATCCCGCTTTTTCATCTTCAGAAGATTCCAATTTGCTTTTTCCAAACTTTGCCCTGAAGGGGTTGAAACCTCACTGTGGGGACACCTGAAAATGACGGTCGGCTTCCCTCCGGATGGCTCCGGGTGGGCCTGGAAACGGGGACTTCGTAAGGAATTTGTAAGGAGGATTACGGCACGGTTGAGAAGAAATGGATTGATATATTTTGGCCTTGTTTTCAGAGAGGTTTTATTATTTTGGGGCGTGTGGAACAAGATGGGGCTCCTCTTGCCGTCTTACCTGATTTGCAGCTCTGTGTTTAAATATTTTCGGGGAGGGCTTATTTTCGGGGGGAGGCTTATTTTAGCGCATGCGGTCAAAAGCCCGATTGGGCTTATTATCAGGGGATGTCTTATTTTCAAGGAAACAGGGAAAATATTTTTATTTCTCATAAACATGTCTTAAATGTCTCTTATTCGTTGTTAATCATACATATTCTCTTTTAACTTTTAACTTTCATATTAGTTCATTCTTCATCCTAAAAAATTTGAGTATACTCGGGGTGACTCTTCTACCATTCCATCTCCTTTGTTTTACAACAATCCTTCTTCTCCTTCTCCTCTCTTCCCCTTCCCTCCCTTCTTCTTCTATCCTCTTCTACTTTCTTCTTTCCTCCTCTCCTTCCCCTCCTCCTCTCCTTCTCCTTCCTTTCCCCCACTCCTCCCTTCTTCCTCCCTTTCTAACCTTCCCTCCTACTCTTATTTCCCCTCCCTTTCTTCCTCTCTTTTCCCCTTTCTTCTGTTCCTCTCTCTCCTTCCTCTCTTCTTCCCTCCTATCTATCCCTCTCCTCCTCTTTCCATTCTCTCTCCATTGTTGTATTCATTTTCAGTTCAATATTTTCCAAAGTGGTATCCGAGCAACCCCGATGGATTTTTTTTTTTTTTTTTTTGGGAAAGGAGCTTTGATTTTGTATCTAACAAAGTTTGGAACTGGGAGAGGTACATGCACATGTGCAGTGGAGCTGAGCTGGGGCGATGGCTGGCATGCCTGCAGAGAGGGGCACTCGTGCTGTGGGTTTGCCATCATGGCCCTACACCATTTCGGACAGATGGCAATCCAGTCTCTCCTTGAAAACTTCCAGGGATGAAGCTCCCACAACTTCCGAAGGCAACTTCTGTTCCATCGGTTGACGGTTCTCACTGTCAGAAAATTCCTCCTTATTTCTAGGTTGAATCTCTCCTTGATCAGTTTCCACCCATTAGGATGATGAGACAGCTCTTTCTGTGGCTTCCTACATCGTATCGAAATAAAGTTTGCCCGTCTTTTCCCACCCAGGTTCTATTTTAAGAAGCAGCTGGCATATTTTTAAGCCACCCAACAGCGCCTGGCAGCTATTTAGAGAGACATAGCGTCTTTTTATGGCAAGCCCTTGGTGTGTCAGGAGGTCATCTAATTAGCGTTGTTGGGCGTTGAAAGCCGTCCCCAAGTCACCATCTCCTCAAGAAATCCAACTGACTCATCCTTCCGAGTGGGGAAGCCAGGATGTCTCAGTTTGAAGCCTGCCACATCTGCAGGGCGAGGATTAGAGACAAAACAGGGGTTAAGGTGGACCTTCTTTTTGGTTGTCAAATTTTAACCAGGCAAGTTGTCATGCGAGTCGCATCCTGAGTCTTCGGAGAGGGGCGGCATGCAAATTGAATTAATAAATGAATAATAAATCCAGTTTTTAACTTCTGGCCATGATAGTTAATTAATTAATTAATCAACTGCAGGGATTCACTTAATTAATTAATTAATTAATAAGAGCCTTGGCAGTACAGTGGTCTAAGGCACCCTGTTATTAAGCTGGTTATTAAGACCAGCTGCCTGCAATTACTGCAGGTTCGAATCTGGGGGATTCTGGGAGTTGAAGTCCACCCAACTTCAAGCTTCCAAGGTTGAGAAACACTGGGTTAGGAGCTTTGTGGCTCTTTGAGTGTTTAAGGTAGCCGATCCCTGTTCTAGAGTCTCGACATCTTTTTTTATAGTGTGGTGACCAAAACTGGATGCAGTACTCTAGGTATGGTCTTACTAAGGCTTTATCGAGTGGTATTAGTACCTCCCTTGATCCCGATCGTATCCCTCTGTTAATGCAATGTAGGATTGCGTTGGCTTTTTTCGCTGCCGCCGCACACTTATTGGCTGATATTATGTCTCAGGCCCAGCCTGTTGTGGCAGGCATACACGGCTACTTCTGATAGCTTTCAACTATCACCCACTTTTTCTCTCCAAAATAATATTTTTTTTTTCTC